GTCTCGTCATGGTCATGTGTCAGTCCCATCATGGTCATGTGCCAGTCCCATCATGGTCATGTGCCAGTCTCGTCATGGTCATGTGTCAGTCTCATCATGGTCATGTGTCAGTCCCATCATGGTCATGTGTCAGTCTCGTCATGGTCATGTGTCAATCCCATCATGGTCATGTGCGAGTCCCATCATGGTCATGTGCCAGTCCCATCATGGTCATGTGCCAGTCTCGTCATGGTCATGTGTCAGTCCCATCATGGTCATGTGCCAGTCCCATCATGGTCATGTGTCAGTCCCATCATGGTCATGTGTCAGTCCCATCATGGTCATGTGCCAGTCCCATCATGGTCATGTGACAGTCTCGTCATGGTCATGTGACAGTCTCGTCATGGTCATGTGCCAGTCTCGTCATGGTCATGTGTCAGTCCCATCATGGTCATGTGCCAGTCTTGTCATGGTCATGTGTCAGTCCCATCATGGTCATGTGCCAGTCCCATCATGGTCATGTGCCAGTCTCGTCATGGTCATGTGTCAGTCTCATCATGGTCATGTGTCAGTCCCGTCATGGTCATGTGTCAGTCTCGTCATGGTCATGTGTCAATCCCATCATGGTCATGTGCGAGTCCCATCATGGTCATGTGCCAGTCCCATCATGGTCATGTGCCAGTCTCGTCATGGTCATGTGTCAGTCCCATCATGGTCATGTGCCAGTCCCATCATGGTCATGTGTCAGTCCCATCATGGTCATGTGTCAGTCCCATCATGGTCATGTGCCAGTCCCATCATGGTCATGTGTCAGTCCCATCATGGTCATGTGCCAGTCCCATCATGGTCAATTGTAATGTGTTAAATGCAATATCTCTATATTATTAAAAACAATGCCATACCATATAGACCAAAATAAAATGATCATTGTTACTATCACTCTACACATCAAGGTGAAGGCGGCAAATAACCTACCTCTTCTGTTTGCTTTGCATCTCATATTAAACACCTCAGCTAATTTGGAGACCAATAGATTGTATAATTTGAGATTATCAGACGGCGTAGTGCTTCCAAATTGATAGACTAATGGAGCTTGCAATGAGAACCCTTCTTCTATATCAGCTGGTCTCTCCACTAGAAGAGCTCCCACCGTACCTGGGACTGATATAGAACCCTGCAGACAGGACAATAGTATAAATATAGTTATAGTTAAGGTCCACGTTGCTTGTTATCTTCATATAGAAAAATAACTGTGAATGTTGTTTAAAAAGACCAAATGAGTCACATACAGTAAAAATATTTTCAGTTCTGTAAATCAGATTGGTTCACTAAAAATTTGTTACCAGGTAGATAATGTTGCTTTTTTCAAACATCCACTTAGAATAAATGAAAACCAGTTACCTGACCAACATCAAGGTCAATGAAAGTAGGCCTTCTTCCAACACGGACAGCATAATTTAAAAGTAATTTACACAGCGTACTTTTACCGACATCAGTTGGTCCAACAATCATTACCTGTAGAGAGACATAAATTTTAGGACTTGAGACCAGAATGTCTGCGCTGGTCCAATATGATAAAGTAATGCCACAGAGAACACGTTTTTTTTTTTTATTTTGTCATATTTGTTGTGGTATGAGCTGCCCCCTTATACTGAAATAGCTGAGTTTTAAGTTTGATACATTTATACACAAAATGCAAGCAGCCAAGGCCATTATGTCACCAATGATCAGATACAAATACAAAACAGAAAACTGAGATTTTTAGTATACTCAAAGCATTAGTGCCAGTGTTAAAGAAGGAAAATTTACTCTGAAAAGTTACAAATATCAAACACACAGAAGCATACAATTACGGCTACTGTACCCAAACTTGCATGTAAATATTGTCTACAAACCTTGACACCCCCTTGCATATGTATGCAGTTCATGTGGTACCGTGGACTGAGGACTAATTAATTAATACTTACTTTTGGACCTTGTTTGTCTTCTCTTTCTGATTGTTGTCTCATTTGTTCCAAGGCAGCATGTGTGTTAAGATATGTCACCATTGGTGTGTCTATAGATTTGTATGCTACTTCAGTCTTACCGCTCACGTATATATCAGTCAAAGAAATTCTATTGCGTTAACATTTCATCTTTGATTGTACCCTTATAACACCACCAACACAGCAATGTAGATGATGTACCGGTAGTTTGACTTTGTCGCCAGTATGAGTTTAATAATCCCTCAATAGGTGGCAGTCATATATCACTAGCTGAATATTAGCATTTGTGCCCACAACACAGGAGATAATTTGTCCGATGCTAGAAGGACAAATATTGTAATTTCACGAGGGCATATTTGGGCTTTAATTATTGTATGATATAACAGTACAAACATTTTTTTCTCCAAAACAACCACATGCATCACCGGGTTACAAAATCCATTGACACTTTTTTGAGATTGCCACTATCATGGACAACGTGGCAATGATCGATACAAGCTTCACTCGAATACAAAATACACCTGATTATTATTAAGCTAAATTCATGTACATTCTGTAAATTGGGTCAAATAACAAAAATATGTGTGGCTCTGATGAACCCTACCCTTAAACTACATGTAGCTAAAATATTTTTGCTTTGCCTTAGCTTTGCGGAGCAAACTCATGACTGAGTTGCTTGTCAAGTTCATATTCAGCCTTAATAGAGAATCACTCAAAAAAGCAGAGGGTAATTAAATACATATTTTCACAAGCCAAATTTATGATATACATCTAGTGACATAAGGCAGCAAATATTGTTCATATTTTTTGTAGTATTGTTATTATACATTACACATTATATATTATACATCAAAAATATTTGCATCTTGACTGTAAAAGAGGGTCAGTGCAAAGAACTATTCAGTTCACAAAAGGATATTTGGAAAGTACACCCATGCCACGTGTAAACTGCAAATTTGGCTCCCGAGGTAAAGGTGTATGAATTGTTTTTGGTGAGTTCAGTGCCAAATATTTCAGCCATTCCATCAATCAACTGTAAAAAAAATTTTTTATGAAAGCTGCAATTCAATTACAACAACAATGAAAAATCCAGAATGTCATATACATGTACATTAAAAAAGTAGTTGATTTTATTTAAGCCACAGAAGACTGCATTCATTTCAACCATTCACCAGTTAACATGATTACGGCAGGTGTTATTTTGACATGGTGAATTTATGGCACCATGTGTGATCTCAAGGAATTGTTTGTGAATGATTTACTCCAATAATGTTGGTTTGTGTCAAAGTACCATAATCAGACAAGCTTAGAGGCCAAGAAGTGAACAATAAATGCTAATACTTGTTACTTTCAGATTCTTATCCAAATCCAGTTTCAAACCACAGTATTTTGAAGAAATAAACAAGGTTAGCTAACTAATTACTGATTTGAACACGTAGGTGATTGGAAATTTCTGTAATTTATCAGACTAATATTTTTGTTTACAAACAGTCACTATTCACAGTACAGTTGTCATGTTGGCATAGAATAAAATTAGGTACAAACGATTACTTGCTCACTTGATGTGCATGTGAATAACAAAACCAAAAGAACAGTCATTTCAGACAGAAGCCAACATATTTTTTTACATTGTAAATCATTCTATTCTTTGTTCAGCCAACAGTAACTCATCTATCATCATGAGCAGAAAATTAAACACACACAAGCCACTAGTGAGGAAATGTTTGAAAATACAGTGAAATACGAGAGAATTTAAATTAAACGATATGTTCATATCATACCTGTAACTGCACTTCATTGTTCTCAACTTCAAATCTGAATTCACAATCTCTTGCCAGTTGATAAACTTGAACATTCTTAAAAGAAGAAAAAAAAAACTTTAAATGGAATAATTTGAAACTACATGATGTACTTTTGGTAAGAAATGTTATGCTATTTTTTTTATTAATGATTGGTGACCTCATTCCTGATTGGATATTATACATGTATGTGATTACCACACAACTCCATGGGCTAGTCTTGTAAAGGGATGTGGTCAGGAATACAGAGCTGTGTCTATTTAAATTCTGGTGCTAACTTACTATCTGGTTATGTGCAAAGGCTTTAGTGGTATTCACAAAAAAAACAACTTGATCTTGGCCCCAACAGAGACATCAGTTCAAAAATTGCTCTGTGCCAAGATTGGCTGCCTGAACGCTTGGCACAAACAGTCCCTCTATCATTGGGGCACTTTGACCGAGTTGTAAGCACCCTCACATTATCGGCCAGATTACCAGGCTTATATTGAATTTGATTGACATGTGTAATATTTTTCAACTAATCAGAAGGCAGGCTAATTAACATATGAACAGGGACCCTGGAAACCATACACACTTGGATAAAATTAGGCCTGAAAACTTTACATACTTTCACAGATCCAAATTGCATACTCCATTTTATTTTAGTTTGAGTTTCAAAATAATCGTGCAATGTTATCAGAAAAATGTGTGGAGCGAGCCTTAAAAGTATTAGGATAGCAAAGCCTTCGTTGATATTAGCGAAAGGTCATGGATGCCTACTCAGATGGCCGAGGCGTTTTCGTATCTGCGCCTACAGGTAGTGGAAAATCACTGACTTTTGAAATGGCCCCGTTTTGGATTGACTACAGGCAATGTGGTAAGTTTAAAGAAAACCGAGACACTATAGTTTTAATCGTCTCGCCATTAATGAAAGAACAGGTCCAGAAAATGAATAGCCGTTTTATTGTTTTGGTGCATGGCTAGGCTGCTCCACCCACCGTATGACATATATGCAAATTTACAAACCCGAATCTGGCTGGTAATGTGAGGACGCTTACACTGATTACAAGTCTGTTGGGATTTTGTGGTTACAGAACTTTCACATTCACTCCTCGTTTACGTAATTTATATTTATTTTTCAAGAATTGTTCATCAAAATCGCAACAGACTGCAAGTCTAATGGCCAAGAGGACCAGATAGAAACCATGGTTAACAAATATGCCTTATGCATTACTGGTAATTGCCGCACAACAACAGGGTGTGACATTTGATATTAGCTGCAATATGTTTAGTATCTACCGGTAACTCCTAACAAACCAATACATGGTCATAAGAAATTATCATATTTGATGGGTGTGATCATTGTTGATTTATACACAATTTGAACATAGCGACCACCACTTTTCAACACAAATCTGTGCACTAATGAACCATTAACCTACAGTACATCCATGGAACAAACCATGTAGTTGTACCGGTAGTTCCATGCTACATCCAACCCTAATTTCTCCTTATCTGTGTATATCTGTCTATACATTGTTCAAATACTCATCTGACTATCAAACATTACCAAATGGAGAATTGTTTATTAATGTTTTCTCTAGTGTAGACAAATATTTGTAGTATTTTAACTAATTTTGTTTTTCAGATTTTAAAATTATTTTAGATTAGTTGTGATACTGTATGTTTCTTACGTTGGACTTTACTCAAGCATTGTTTTTGTGTACGTTCCAAATAAAATATCCTATCCTATCCTATCCTACTGTACATGTAATTCTAAAACATTAAGGTAGAGATGCAGGTTCGTGGGCACTTTGGAGTGTAATTTTTCTTTTTTGCTTTTTATTATCCAAAAAGTCTTGGCTATAGACTGTTGAGATTTTGTAGAATTGTGAATAGTGGAACATACTCAAAAAACGATTTTAAAATATAGATAACAAGTGCAAAATTATCTCTTTTGAATGCTTAGCAAGATTTAGCAAGGCTGTACATAAATAATAAAAAAAAAACATGGTGAAAAAAAGAAATGACGGGATCTCCATATTATGCACTGTATTTAACTTTTTACAAAACGATAATACATTTAAATTTGAAACTGTAACAGCCATTTTAATTATGAGCATTAGCAAACTTCTTACTGAGTGAATTGTTATGCAAATTAGCAATTATCTCAGCTTCTTTTTAGTGCACATTCCAGAACTTTAAAAAAAATAGCTTCTAGACGCTTTGACCTTTTGTTTTGAAATTTTCACAAATGATTGACAATGTGTTTATCTTCAAAACGCCTTCGGGGCATTGTTTTTAGTTGAATAGAGTTACAGCAATCGTTCAGACAACTAGCTTGGGTATTAATTTATGCATAAACTTGAAGTAGTGAAATATGAGCTGCTGCCCTACAAAATTGACAACTGGTAGACAGTTTTCAAGACGGCGCTTTCTTCATAGTAAACAGATGTACCCATAAACCAATTTTGACAGGAAACAGAAGCATGGTTTAAAAGCTAATTTTTTTAAAATCACTTTTGACCAAAAAAGCACATTTTTGTGCATATTTCAAATTACAGTGTCCATAAAAATAAAATACTAACAAAAGTTTAAAATTCATACAATAAGCTTTCCGAAAATATATAGTTTTGTGGACAAGGGAGGTCATCTTGGTTTTCTCATTAACTAATTAAAATATCTGTCAGGTAAACTGCATCTCTACCTTAAGTGAAAATAATGTGATTTAAAATTATTGTGATTATGTAAGACTACTGTAGAACTGCATATAACTTGAGCATGGATCTACAATGTACTATAAATACGAAATATAGTATACCGGCACATGATACATGTATACATGTTCATGTTTTAGTTAGGGGTTCCGGCTTCCTTTAATAGCAAAGTTTAATTGTTTATTGCGTAATATAGAAACAGAGAAGCAGAATGTTATAGTTGTAAATCATGACGGTCTTTCCTCATCACGTGATTGTTACAACAATGATGGCGTACATATAAACAACAGAGGTGTCGCAAGGCTCGTCAAGGATATCAAGCAGGATTTACGTAAGAGAAATACTTTGCAAAACTGCAGCTTTAATCAATCTTCCACCGGTCCCTACAATGAGTATAACAAGAATAAACACCAAAGAAAGCGGAGTTTTCAAGTATTCTCCGATAACGAACGACGCGTCACGAAAGATCATTATAGAGAGCGCCCTCAGTCTTCTGGTTCAAGAAAGT